GGGGTGGAGGAGGGGGTGGCGTGCCCCCCGATGACCTCCTGCAGGACGTGCTTTCCCCCAACTCCAGCTGTGGCAGCTCCCTGGATGGGGCAGCCAGCCCGGACAGCTACACAGAGGAGCCAGCGCCCAAGCACACGGCCCGCAGCCTCCATCCTGCCATGCTGCCCGCCGCCGACGGAGCTGGCCCTCGGTGATGGGCCCAGGCCACTAGGATCAGCCAGGAGGGTGCCCTTAGGCCACTGGGATGGTGGGCTTCAGGGCAGGTGGGATGAGAAGCGGGCAGCTCTGAAGCAGGGCAATGGACTTGATGAACTTTCCTTGATGTCTGAACTTTGGGAAGCCTTTACTGACCCTGGGGCTGGCTCCTCTGTTTCCTGTCTCAGTAGGAGAACAGAAAAATGGAGCAAAGTGTAGGTACTTTTTATGAAGACGGCACAGTCTTCCCCTTCCCCCAATCCCTAGTACTTCCCAAGTAAGAGGCTCGAGTCATTGCTTTTGCCTGGGGTTTGGGAGCCCTGTCTTTGCTGAGACCTGGGGTGGTCAGCTCTCACCGGAGGCATCTAGCAGCCTCTGCCTTGCCTTTAGCCCCTCCCAAGCTGGCTGGGTGGCTTTTGTGGCCACTTCTGTCCAAATATATAGGTACCCAGCTGCTGCCCATTTCTTGAGCCCCATCTTCACTCAGGCCCACGTTGATCCATCCAGCTTGCCAACTGCTGCAGAGTCACAAGCCTCGAGGTGCCTTCTTCAGGGCCTGGTGGAAGAAGACGGCCAGTGGGCAGCCTGCTCTAGACTAGCTGGGCCAGAGGGTCAGGAAACCCCACTGCCCTTACGTCTTGCCCTGGGGATCAAAGCTCTGCCTTCTCCCCACTGAGACTTGCCTTCCTTATCCTGCGGCTGTGGGGGCCCATCTGCAGCCTTGAGTGTGCCCTGTTGGGATTTGTGTGAAGGCAGAGAAAGGGACAATGATATTAGAATGAGATGGCGCAAGAGGTATTTTGGGCATGTGGGCTTCAACTCCTTCACATCACCATTGATGCTGGTGAACGAATGCCAGTGTTCTGATGGGCATATGCTGGTGCCGAGTAGATGGGAAGTCCTATGTGTGCATTCTAGATGCTTAGAGGGCTCTCCCTGCTGTAAGATGTCTGTTTGCGGATGGTCTGGTCCGTGCTCCAAACTGAGCACAAACTCTGTCTTATGAATTCTTTGCGTTTGGGATTTTTTGCTTGACTTCAGTTATCAGTGGGATCTTCAGGTCTCGATATGACCCCCAATCCAGCCCCACTTCTAGGGCATGGGAAATCCAATCAGAGACCAGGCCCTGGATAAGACCCAAATATATGCGTATTCACATAGCAGAACCTTAAACACCCCTGGATTGCGCAGCTTTCAGTCACCAAGGGTGTGTCTAGGAGCTTGGTTTAATGCAATAGGAGTGCCCCCTCCACAAGTTGTTCGTGACATTTTTGTAAATCAAATCCTCATCCTTCATCTTTTAAAGAAATAACTATTGCAAGTCCTTTTGTAAAGTGAAGAATCCTTTTGTAGAGTGACCCACAGCTCCCTCGTTTACTTCCCATGTCAATTCAGATGGTGGGATGTGGTTTTCTTAAAGTTAGTCCTGCCTGTGTCCTGCACTCCAAACCCATGGGACGAAAGGCACAGAAATCCTGTATGTTTGTCATTGTACCCCAGCCTTCTCCTACCAGGCTCTGCCTTTGAGGTCAGAGGGAAAATATCCTATAGTCTTGTCCTGTCATGCAAGAACTCATTAGTGTGGCTGTCTAGAAAGCTCCTTTGCTCGTTTGAGTTTCATGGCTTGCCCTCGCTATGATGGGGCTTCCAGCTCATCCATATGCAGGCAGGGAATGATCTTGGCTGTCCGCCCCTTCCTTTTAAGTTGTGAGGTACAATTCTTGGGCATGGGGACAATATGGTTAACCTTTGTAGCACTCTGACTATCCATCTAATTTCAGACTCCCCAAATTATATTTTGGTGAACATTAGGGTTGGTTCCAGTGCTTGGAGGATCCCTTGAACAGTCCCATCTGTCTAAAGATGGAGTTTTAGACACTGTTGTAGGCTTAAACGCTGTGTTTACCTCCCTCTGGAGTCACTTGATATGGGAATGAAAAGTGGCCACAGTGTGGATGGGTGGATGGGTTTAATGAGATGGATCACACATTCTGTCGGGAACTTAAGCCGCTGGTTCCTTCTTTCAGACTTGCAGCGTGACTGAATGAGGTATCTCTCTAAGTGTTAGTTTCTCATAAATACCCCAGCTTGGCCTGTCTGCTAGGGCCATGGGATAGACTGAATGGGATCATGAGAGTAGAAGTGTATTGAGACCGCAATATCAATCCTGCAGTGGGGTTTCCCAGCTGGAGTCTAGGATCCAGGCAGTGGGCCAGTCTGTCTGACTGTACAGCATTTGGATAGTTTAAATTGTAAACCGCTTTTGCCTGACTTATCTAGATTGTCCTCATTTCTCCAGGTTGTCTTAATTTCTGTCTCATTCCAAGGCAAGGGACAGGAATGAGAATGGAAAAGAGATGGAAAAGAGATCCAGGCAGAGCATGTAAAGTGTAATGCAACTACCCAAAACAGGCCTGGGTAGGGCAGGGCAAGGATTTAGGTCTTTGTAAGAAATAAAGAAGATCTGTAACTTTTCTTTTCATCCTCCATACCCATGCCCTTCCCCTTCCTCTGCCTCCTCCTTACCCATGAAGCAATGGCAACGTTCCAAGAATAGCACCTGTACAAAAGGGAAAAAGGTAAAGGTAAAACAAATGAAAATATTTCGAGGAGAACAAAGATGAATGTAACAACTGGAGGGAATCGCGTCTTTTAGGAAAAATCTGCAGTCCTTTATACATAGTGGCGAATGACAAGATGGTACAACCTTTATTCTTTTCCAAAACTAAAACCAAGGGCACAGCATCTGTAGTCAGCCGACAACTATTTCAGCCTTTTGGGGGTGGGTCTAGCCGTACTTGTGACTACGATGGTACGTGACCCTCCACAGAAGGCTTGCCCCTGCCCATGTACATAGCGCATTGTTTCTGTGGGCGGGCCCAGCACTTTCCGTCAATGTCGTACTGTATGTGATGCATTGCGTTGGTCTCTGCATTTTTCTGCAGAAGAGGAGTGACCACTCCAGGTACCTTGACCTTTGTACAGCCCAGAGGCCAACACTGTGGGTGTGTGACTCTTTAGCGAAAAACCCCATGTGGTGATGATGTGTGTATATATATATGGATATATCGAGAAGATTTCTAAATAAAAGTTTTACAAAGGGGCCTGGACTCTGTGCTTGCGTTTTGCACCCCTAGGCCTGGGATGAGGGACATTAGAAGGAAAGGTGTGGTGAGAACCTGTCTCCTCTGGAATGGGACAGCTTCCAGGCCTCAGCTGTGGGATTTGCCTGCCTGGCCAGCAGGACTGGTGGGGAGGAGAGTGCCTTCTCCCACAGGGTTTCTGCTTGTTTCCTCTCCCAGGTTTCACAGAGGGGGCCTCTCTCCTCAGCACCCCTGCTTTCTTTCTTTTTCCTTTTTTTTTTTTTGAGTTGGAGTCTCAGTCTGTCACCCAGACTGGAGTGCTGTGGCCGCTCCCGGCCACTGCAGCCTCGACC